GGATAGCGTACTCTAACCCAGCCGCATCTTTAACATCGGTGTGCATGCATCCTATGCTGAAGGAATTTTTATAAATTATTTAGCAACAAATCGTTATAACTAAACAAAGACAAAAAAACAAAAAAGTTGCAAAGGCCAAAGATGAACATTACACTTTTTGTACACTAGGGGTATTCAAAGTTTACCAGGCAGTATCCAGATATGTGTAGAACTGAGTCGAGTTCTACGTTATTAATCTGGGATGGCTGCGGTTCAGTCTGTCCGTGAAAAGGAGGGATGCCTGTTTAGAACAATACTTCGAGCTGATTGGGTGACGTGCCAGCTAGTACCCGCCTTCCATAATACGCTTTCAGCAAATCGTAGCAGCGAATCTTGACGTTTTGTAAGCAGATAAATCAACTTTTTTCCAATTCCTGTCAGAAGAAAAGCACAGACATCTTTCCCATCTACAAATGCACAAAGTGCTTTTCTTTGCTCCTATTTTAAACGAGAAATTGTCGCTATTTTAGCTAAAACTGAGTTAATTGCAGTATCGACCGGTGAGTCCTCCAGCGTACCCATGTTTGTAATGCCCCAACAAGGCCCTTCTGACTGTCGTCATTCCTACACGTTTCCCCCCCAAAAAAACACTGCTGGCATGCCATCGGTCCGACTCGCTGGTGGTTTGGAGACTGACCGTTTAGCGGGAGTCTTTCAAGATGGATTTGTTGTGAGACTAAAAACTGATCTTGTGACAATCCAGTTTGCAGCGTAAGGTTACGCCAAAGTTGGTCCCCAAGGGTTGCTGTCCTGCGGGTTTTAGAAGTTCCCTGCTTTATCCTATTTGATATACAAGCATTGCTGATTAACATACGCTGCTGAACTGCAATCATCTAAATAATGTTTAAAGCAGAAAAAACTCTGGAATCTACAGTATTCAGATGTCAATTAACCTTGTTCTTTAAACTCAGCTTTGGAGTCTGTAAAACCTAAAAAAAAATAAAAACAAACGCATATGTAGTTTTTTTCCCCAAAAAATCTTATAAAATCTTTATTCATTAACTCAATATTACGTTTGAATCACCTCATCCTAAAGTCCTTTACATGTGCTTCGAGATATCGACTAAATAATCATTGGTTTCTGCATAATGAGCCACCTGATGAAAGGATCTCTGTGGTTTAAAGATTCATACTGATAGATAGCTCCAACATCTGAGGGAAAATTATTTGGATTTATGCTGAACAAACCACCTATTGTGGTACGATATTCAATTCTTAATGACTGCATTAATGACTAAGCATTATAGCAGCTTAGCGAAGGCAAATAGCTACTTTTTAGTAGCTATTTACTAATTCATTTAGATAGCCAATGTCTCAGATTGTTTTATTATATTAAATGTATATTTTATTGGAAATGTTTGTAGATATAATTCTCATATTTTGAGCTTTATTTTTGTTTTGTTTGAGATCATTCCAATAATTATTTAAAAAGTCTCTCATAAAAAATCTAGAATAGTACTATAAACTGCTGCTCTGCATATTTGCATTACTCCAATAGCCTTTCTTTTTTGTTTCATATTCAAGTCGCTTCGCCAAAATCAGATCACTAAGAGTCGAAAATTGGAAATGTTTTTGCTTTTCTCAGTAAGGATTTGTAAGCTTCTAATTGAAAACAACTTTCTCCCATACCTTCTTTTTTTTTGCATCAAAAAGCACCACACACAGCCCGATAAGCTGTCGTGTCTATTTTGGCTCAATCCCTCAACCCCTGGTTTCATCCCGTCTCTTTTGTCCTTTACAAACCTCTGGAAACGCAGCAGAGTAACAGATTACACAGCTGAATATGATCTGTAAACACACCAGAGTCTGCTATGGTTTCCTTGTAGGCATGTAAGGGTTAACTCTTTCACATGGCAACTTTTTTTATCACACATGACTGCTGCTGTTACCTATTCATAACCTGTTTAAACCTCTTAGGGCCCCGCTGTGTTCCTCTGTTCCTTCAGGCAGGGCGGCCTGGTACTCAGCCTGATTTTATGTAGTCAGCAGGTGGCATCATTAGCCTGAGAATAAAAATGAAAAGTAATCCCCCTGTGTCTTGCTATGATATCATAGTAAGGCTCATTGGCATCGCTTTCCTGTTTCTAGTGGGCAGGATAAGAGCTTAGGAGGTGTAAATTTAATATGTTTCGTCATCTGGTTTACATTTAAAAAAGATGAATGTGTATGGTAACCGCAGCCAAATGGGTTGTTGGGTCATGCCATGCAATGTGTGTGTGTGAGAGAAAGACAACGACAGCCAAGAAACCACAGAAAGATCCCAATCTTGTCTGCTCTGAAGTCATACACGGTCTATTTTACGCCTCGACCTCCCCCCTCCCGCCTAATTATGCTGGCATCTCTATCCCTTACACCCCAGAGTAGTGTGGCGACACGAGGAAAGCATCACTGGCAAAACGCTCTCCTCCATGCAAATGAAAGAAGACATTTGATAAGTTTTGCAGGATGTAATTTGCAAACTTGAGACAGTCAAGCCTGGGGAGAGGAGTGTGCCCATCCTGAGTGCGAGGCGTGCTGCATCGGTTCACCGTGCACAACACAAATCCTGCATATGAAGAAGACCTTAGAGGCTGAACATTGAAGCATTTCTAAACAATGGCCTTTTAGACACAGCTGTTCCCGGCATTAAGTAGCTCCATATTACCCCTGCTGCACACTGCCAATCAACCGGCTTAAAGAGATCTACTACACCCTCCCTTTTCTTTCACACTTTTACTTGAATTGATTAATGTTCTAGACGACATCGTTTTAACCAAAAGGATTCCAAAAAGTTAAAAAAACAAGTCCCTGGACTTGGTTTCCAAGTTTGAAGACTTGGAAACTTAATAGCTTGGAAACAAAGTCGAGTGCATTGTTTTGTTTTGTTTTTTTACTTTTTTTAGAACGACTATGACCTGGAGGACGGAGAATCTTCACCAGCAACCAAAATGATGTCATCATTGCCGGAATATTTGCTTTTATTTTATGTTGGGAATAAAAGTAATTCAATGTCAAACATGAAACTTTATCTTTAAAATAATGGAGGTCATCATACGGTGATGAGATAGCTGCATAGACCTATATAGATAGAGCACCAACACACTCTGCCTCTTTTTGCTGCACACTGTTGGTCTGCTGGCTTAAACAACACTCCTACCTTTCAAGATTCTGTTGAAACATCTCAATTTAAATAACCGTCCCCCTTTCTGTTATAGTATTCTGTAATGAGGTCGGAGGTCACACTAGGTCCCTGCTTTGACTAAAGTTACACATCTGGGTTGTATTTCTGTGGACTTTGCTCCTTAAAGCCCCCTGCTGGCCCGGGTGTCCCACAAGAACTTCCAAAAGGACCAGTTGAACAGGAGCTAACACTCAACATTCAATAGATCTGTTGTTTTTGAGTTTCTTTTATTCAGGTTGCCTGTGTTTTAACCAGCAATAAGTTTATTTCGTTTTTTTTATTGAGCAACAACATGAAACGGTTCTGTAAATAAATGTTGTACCATAAATTCAAGGTTGGCCAGGGTGTATTTTTCATTTATCCAAGAAAAAAATACTTATACATTAAAGCAACACATTTGGTGTAATCAAAGTTATTTAAAGTCAGGCTTGAATTGGGCTTTTGATCAACACCAACAAAAATTCATCACATTTAGTAAATAGTAGGTTAGTTTTCTTCACTGGAGAGACCTTCTGCTTGGCCTGACTGGTGAATTGACAAGTGTAGCATCCCTTTTTTTTCTAAGATTGCTGCTCTCAAAGTAAAGCTCTTGAGGTCAACTGTGAAAGTTAACCTCTTGATCTCATCCCTACTCCTTCCATCTGCCCTTTACTTCACACACCCCACGCAGATAGACTCTCCAAATCATAAATAGGCTTGACCATAAACTGTTTTTCGTTTGGTTTCTTTCTGAACAGCTCTTTGGAGAAAAGAAAAGCGGATCGGACCGTGACACGGCGTCTCCTGCACGCCAGATCACACAGCGCACAGAGAAAGAAACACACAGAAGAGCTGAGAACCGCATGTGTGCCAGTACCCCGCAGTGATTGCCCTGATTATTTGCAGATGGGCAGCGGAGGGCTCGCAGAGTGTGGAGGTTCCCCCCTGGCACGAAGCGCATATGATTAAATTGGTGATTGTCTCAATATTTGCAGGTCCCCTCCTCCTCCCCTGTCCGGTCACTTTACCTCTGTCCCAAATCTGTATGCTTCCCTGATCCCGGTGATGGGTTATGTCACGGACATGAGTTTGGGGAGGGGGCCAGTTTTCCTAATCCGACTGTCTCCTCATTCATTCAGAGTAAAGACTGGTGTTTACAGAGGGGCTGATCCCCCAGGCTCGACTCCAGCGCCTCCGCTGAGCGATTGTTATGCAGGTTTTCGACCAACTGTTCAAAGTGGTTATGAGATCAATTAAAAGCAGCTTAGGAGGAAAGCTGGATGGGAGATGCGCAATTCATAAACCTTGGATTTTGGATTCTATAGCCTCTCCAAACCATTTTGGATACATCCGATCGACACATTTAACGTTTTATATGGAAATTACGAAACCAAACCATATATTGATCAAATAAATTAAGCCAGCGGTGTGTTTTTTAATTGCTCAATTAAAGACTGAACATGGTTTCTTTATTTTGGAGAACGCGCGTAAACCTGCGCGCAATTTTACGCACCATTAATTGGCTCAAACATTGTAAAGCGACGTGAAAAAGTCAACGTTTGACAACACAAACAAAAAAAATAGATTATTAACGAGATGCTAGAAGCCTGGAACTTTACATTCGTTTTCCAAGAGGGAGAAATTCTGGAGAGTTCTGGATCGGGAGTTCTCCTCTGACATTTTGGATTGGTTTTCCTTCCGCTGGCGCACCGCTCAGGAGAACCTCCATCTGACAGAAATTGTCTTTTTTACACGGACAATCTATTGGGTGTCACTCTATTCTATATAGATCTAAAACACAAAGATTTGAACTCCATATTACCTCTCTTGTTTCTCCTCCAGCGGTGCGACGGCGCCTGACAGTTGCTGTACTCCATACAGTTCAAGACGATCAGGGCAAATGAGAATAGTCGAAACTGCATCTGGACGGCGGTCTGGTTTGCTTGGATTCCAATAAAGAAAAAGAAGAAGAAAAAAAAAGCCCAACAGCCTGGCTTAAAAGAAGTTCTCTGACTTTGCTTTTGTCCAATTTCTCCAGTTTCCTTTATCTGATCCTTAATGTGTCAAACGTCAGATAAGACGCGATACGGTATCACGTCCTCGGGTGGAAGCATCTTTAAAAAGCGCGCTGATGGTTCTCCTGTTAATAGTTAAGAGGGGAAAAAAGTGTCCGTGCTTGAGAAGAAAACAAAGGTGTGATAAGAATAACGAAATCAACACCTTCCTGTGATCGTAAAAGAAGAAAGAAGAGATTCTTCTGTGTGGTAATGTCCAGATTTCCCCCCCTTTTTTTTCAACACTTGAGCAGGAAACGGTGCGTAAAAGCAGCCAGAATCAGCTCTAGGTCACTTCTCCAGAAAAGATGAAGTGTAATCCCGCTTCTATGTTCCGTCTGAGTGCAAGTGCGGCTCAGCAGTATGCAGCATCCCTCTCTCTGAGTGACTGGGAAGATCTGGCGTCTTGAGAGTGGAGGTCCGAGAAGGAGGGATGAAAAAAAAAGTGGTGAATGGGAGGGGAAGGTTGCTTTTTTTTTTTTCTTGCAGTTCTCTTTATGTCTTAGACTCGCTTTAACCTGGACTTTTCACTCTCTATCAGTCTGCTCTGATCGCGGCGTGCAGCTACCCTTTAAACTCTACTGGAGTTGGAGTGTGCGTCTTGCGCGCAGCTGGCTGAATGGTCTGGATGCTCTCAGCCGGTTTCCTCATATAGCGGCGCGTCGCTTGTCACGTGCGGAAATTTCCAGCTCCCAGCCACTTATTTGAGATCTTGAGAAGGGTATTCTGCTCATCAAGCCCCTCCGTTACCCCTCCACCCCCCAAAAAACCACCCACACAACCACCCTCCCATCCAGCCCAGCCACACTTGGCCGATCCGAGGCTGCCTCAGGGTCCTAGTGAGCATGAAAAGTTGGAAGACAATTAAGGAGGGAAAAAGTTCACGTGTTATTTTGGGTTTATTTCATTTCTGCTGGCTGCAGATTGTTGCCCCCCTTTGGATGTGTGTATGAAAACCCATGCAGAAGCAGCACAAGATTTTAAAGGGGCCCTAAGTAGAGTGTGATTTAGGGGGCCAACTTCCAAAGATTATTTTGAAAGTTATGCCTGTTAGTTTGTTAATAATAATAAAAGAAATCCCAAAAGCAGTACCAGGCTATCAGCTTTTAAGGCTGAACCCCATTTAAGCTGATTTAGGATACATACATACAATGTGCATCTCCACTGGATGCAAAAATATATGCAGAAATTCACTTTACTCAACTAGTTACTCAACTAATACTATAATAATCTGTAATCTGCTAGCATTTTATAGTCGTTTGGAAGTGACGCTGTATTCAGGTAACCATATTTGGTCTGCATTAAACAAACCAGGGTTAATTTCTCTCTTTGTTCCAGTCATTTTGTCCAGGTTTGATAGAAATCTTTGAGGTGGTTTTGTACATTTCCAAACATCATCTGGTTCGGTTTGATCCTAATGTGAATAATGTCTCTCAATTCAATCCAACAATGAGAAACATGCATCTATATTGACTTAAGCTTTTGGGGATAGTGACTCTCGTATGCAATCCCTGATCCGCCATCTTTTGTTTAACCGCACTGCTGCAGAGAGCATCGTCTCCTTCGGCTTGCAGGTGGCATTATCCGACGCCGTTCTAAGATTACAGATAAAATGTCGCAAAACGTGTTGAATTAGCAGCTCTTAAAGCAGTGACTTTGCAGCTTTAGCAATTGCAAAAACATACAGGTCAAAGCTGCTGAACGTAGGACTCTAATGAACGTTTTCTTTCCATTTCCAGGTCTGTACTGCTCTGTCCTGCATTGGTCACTTTTGTCCAGTGGCTGCAAGGCTTGTCAGAGTTGTGCCTTAGTTTACAAATGATACTTTACTTATAAACAGTGAAAGCAGACTTCCCCAAAGAAGAAAGTTCTACCTTAGATCCAGATGAAAGAAGTGACACAAGGACTTTCCTGTTAATACACCCTTTGACTCACGATCAGCCGATCGAGCAGAACCAAATGCCTGCAGCATCCATTAGCTCAAATCTAATGCAGTCAGACTTTATTTGGATGAAGAAAAGTGGCTATGTTACTAATAGCTTCCTTATAAAGTGTAAATGTGTAATATCGACTAAAATAGCGCTGTCTTCCACAGGCATGGACATTTTTACTCAGAGAGGGTTGAAAATGCTAGAAGGCAGGCAGGCAATCAGTCTGACTTAGTGTTAGTCTTTCCTCACTCCATTTTTTTAAGGATTCCCAGTGATGTTTTACACCGTTTTCCAACAACTAAAGGAACTATTACTGGTAATAAAGTAAAAAAAAAACTTAGTTTTAAAACATTCAAACTCTTCATTTAAAGTCTCAAACTCCTCAAAGGCCTGTGTCCTGCAAGTTTCAGCATCAACACACCTGACTCAAATATATTCTCTATATTAGATCTCTGCAGAGCTGGACTGCATGGAACGGATCTCAAGGAAGCCACCCTTAGTGGGGGCTCCGTGTGGACGGTCTAACCCTGTGGAAGATGCCAGGAAGAGCTGCAGTACAGATGTGCTGTAAAAGTGCAGACTTTGGATCCTGTTTCCTGACTTTCATGTAATTGCAAATTCTGTTTAAACAGTTAATCAACAGTTATAATAAATGATTTTGAAAGAATGACTAAAAAACTAAATATTTTTTTATCAATTTAACCATATTAGATCTAAGGAAAACAAAGTAAGTTATTTAGATAAATTCAGACATTCAAGACTGACCAACATATGCCTCATGTCTTCCTTTACAGTTTGAATCCACCAACACAAACAACAAAAACTGTTAACTTAAGATTTGCTTTTGTGTTTAAAGTCCATTTCATTTATTGTGGATTTTATACAACTATAAGTTTGTCTCTTTACTATTGTGACAGCATTACTAATTGCTTCAAAGCAGCGATATTGAGCTGTTACTCCTCTGATGGTTCATTTGGACTTCGTCTTCAGGATCAAACTGATACAGACTTCGTCTACATGTTGATATGCATGTGTTTTTTTCCCCAAAATTTAGGGATTGGACTCTTCTGGAGATGAAAATCAACAGGTTGGATCAGGAAGTCCTTTTATAAAAACTAAGTAAAGGAATAATCTTAATAACACCTTTGATATAAAATCTTGAAGAAACGACTGAAAGATAAAAAAAAATTATGGTCTTCAATTTTGTTTGTTTTGCCATAAGTAGAGCCTGCATAGGGGTATTTATAGGATAGCTTTAATTTGAAAAACACTCCCTTAAATTAATATATATTTTAACAATAAATATTTATTCCTTATTAATAAGACGTTTCTAATAGAAGTTTGACAAAAGTCGCTGAATGCCCTCCTCTTTTCGGACATTTCTTCACCTTTGTCACATTTTGCTGTTGATAAGCGCTGTAGCCTTTCTGTTATTCTGATTCCCATTTATTAAGGCAGCCAGGTCCAGTTTTAACCTAAGCAACAAAAATAAATTTAAGAGTAAAAAATATATGTATATTGTTTCTGCAGAGGGTCCAAAAGTTGAAGGTGAACTAAATCTTTCAACAGATTTGGTGTCAAATCATCATCTTCCCCTTCTCCCACCAATCATCTCTGAAAGACAATGAAACCAGGGCAGCCTATGAGCAAAACAGTCCAAATAAAAACAGTGCTGTGAACATGTTGGAAACCAGATTGAGACTTAGAGATCATTAGTAAGTGGGCATATATGTGGGGATATTCTCTCCTTCAGCCATGGGATGAGGGAGAGAAGCCAATGCTCTACTCCTTTCAGCCACTAGGTGTGGCACTTAATCTTTTATTTATTTGAGGAAATTATTTTTATATGAAACCAAAGTGTTGCCCAAGAAAGACACTCTACCAGTTTGAGTTGTAGAGAAAAAAATAAGTTCCTTTTCCCCAAATGCGACTGCTTTCAGTGCGACACAAAGGGTCCTGTCTTTCATTTGCATGCAGGTTTTACAGTTTAAACGGCTGAGAAACCAATGAAAAAAAAAAGGCTCTGGTAGTAAAATCTACTCTAAGGGGAAGATCTTTGTTTTAAAAAGGGTTTCTGAAACCTTTGGTGACCTTTGTGCTGCCTTTGTTTATTTGTCTGTCCAGAGAGCAGTGACAGACACTGCGGTCAGCATGGCTGTTATAGCCACAGGCTGCACTGCTGGTTTGGATTCCTCTCTATAACAACATGTGAGAGTGCACGGTTAAGGTGAATGTGATAATTTAGGCCTTCTGGCACTTTTATTTTCATGATGTGTCACAAAGAAAGGGGGGCCGGTAAACCAATCACTCTGCCCTCTCCATCCATCCCTCCCCTCCTTGCTTGTTGCAGTGCACACAAGTGGAGGTGACGTCAGCATTTGGATGGTCTGGCTTGGAGCCCTCAGTGCCATAACAGCAATGAGGGGAGCCGCTGTGCGCTCTACTCATCAGGGATCCGGGCTGGACGGCCTTCTTTGTGGGTTTTATCACAGTTTTCTCAAACAAAAGAAAAGGGAAAGCTGGAAAAAAAAAGAAGCCAAACTGTCGGCCACGTAAAAGTCAAAATCTCTGAAATGTCAAGGATTCAGAAATAACCCGGCGTGACATTTTGAAATACAGATAAACCATCACAGTCTAAAGATAATCACAGCCCAGATCATGGTCCACTTAGAAACTGTTCCTCATCTACTGATCAAGGTCATAGAGTCTATAGAGTAGATATGTTAGGTAGGTTTTCAGAGACCAGAAGCTGTTGAAAAGAGGTTAAATTTACACTCTAAAGTAACATTTGCATATTTTAATGGCTCAACTAAACTCCCTTAAACATTTCACACTATAATACATAATTGACCACAATAGGTGTGTGCTTATTTTTACATTTGCAGTAAAATGTTACATTATTTTAACTAGATATTGGCTCTGCATTCAAGAAAGACAGGTTGGTTTGATATTATTCTTAGTATTAGATATACGGCATATTACTGGTAGCCAGCTATAATAAAAATCTAGAATTCATCCTCAGGAATAACATTGCATTAAATTTTGCCCCTTGGCCGGTGTTTGCCATGCAGGTCTACTAGGATTTATATTTTAGACAGCACCTTATAAACTGTATGGGATAACAGGAGCATCTACATATTTAATCTGTTTTGGTATTAAACTGAACAAATTGAACTATATCAGGCTTGTGATCGTCACTACAATGTTTTTTTTTAAGTTTATCTTAAACTTCTCCAAATGGAGAAGTTTAAGATAAAATGAAATATTATACATACATACATACATATATATATGTATATATACGTATACATATATATATATATAATTTTACTCTGATTCTGTCTACTAAATATTAATGTGATACATTCATTAAAATAAGGATTTATACTGGCAGCATTAAAACAGAAACAAAAGTGTCCCTTTAATCTATTTATAAAAATAAATTTCAAGTGATCTTCATACAATCCTGGATTAAGATGAAATAAATGTCTTCCTTCAAAAACAAACTGTTCAATCCGTATCTTAAATATAATCCATTTAATAAACTCGCCAAAAAGCTCAACTGAAATGAGAAGGCTGTTGGTGAAATAGTCAGTTGTTTAAAAAAAAAGTGCAGTATTATTTTAATGTGTGATACAGTGCAATGGATGCTTTGACATAACTGGACGACTTTACAAATGCGAGATATCTAAAATGTGCAGGAACCTGGACCTTTGAGGATCAGAAATGAAGATCCCCGCCTTGGAGCATAGTTC